CATAAAAATCTATTTTGGGCCAGGTGTGGTGGCTCACGCCTGTAATCCTAGCCGTTTGCGAGGCTGAGGTGACTGCATCACCTGAGGTCAGGAGTTTGAGACCAGCCTGGCAAACATGGTGAAACCCTGTCTCTACTAAAAATACAAAAATTAGCTGGGCGTGGTGGCGGGTGCCTGTAGTCCCATTTACTCGAGAGGGTGAGGCAGGAGAATCTCTTGAACCCGGGAGGTGGAGGTTGCAGTGAGCCAAGATCATACCACTGCACGCCAGCCTGGGCGACAGAGCCAGATTCCATCTCCAAAAAAAAAAAAAAAAATCTGTTTTTTATGGTGCTGACATTGTCAGTACCACATGACTTGAGTCAAAGATGTAAAACTGACTTTCAGAAGTTTGTGTTAGGTTTGTAATTCTCTCCATAGGCATATTGGATGAACCCAGGGGATTATGGTCTCATAGCAGAGTCTTATTCCAGCCTGGGCTAGTGCTTGGTCTGAACTTGGAATTGGAAAGTTCAGATCTGATCAATTATGAATCCTGCTTGAACTATTGGAGGTTGTAGAAGCCTGTTTGGGAAAGAATTGAGTTGGCGAAAACTGAGTTGTATTTATAAGACTTCTAATGCATGTTAAACTAAACTGTCTCTTAATATACTCATATGGATTTGTAACCATTCCCCTGCCCCCATCTCGTTTCCACACCAACCCTCTGCAAGAGATGGGGAGTTCCTATAGTTAAGATTGTGGCAAACTTTCTTACATTTTGTCATTGTGAATTTTGTAGAAACTTGAACTGGATCGATTTATGCTGTATGCTCACGGGCCTGACCTTTGTAGAGAATCGGACCTTCGACATGCAATGGCCAATTGTTTTGAAGCATTAATAGGTAATTTCTGTCTTCGTAGTCTACTTTCTTGCATGTCTAAACAGTCTGGAGAGCACATAAAATTTTGTGTGGAAACTTGGGACAGAATTATTTGTTCCCAAAGTACAGGACGTTCCTAGTATGACACCTACCACCTTATAGTTATTTCAGTTCCTTCAGAGCAGTGAACATGGCTCTTTTTTTTTTTTTTTTTTTCCATTCTTACTGCCTGAATTGGTGTCTTGATGTCATGTAGATGCTTAGCATTTCATGAATTGAAATGAGGTGAATTAATATGGAGATGGATAACTTTCCAGATTTGAGTCAGGATCACATACATAAATGAACAGATTAGGTTGCTGAGAGACTCCATTGTTGCTTTTGATTAAACTATTTGTAATATTTCTGTTTTAAACATCTTGAAAACACCACATTTTTAAAACCCTACCCAGGGTTTGAGTCTGTATAACTGTTATTGATTCACTTGAAGCAAGACTAATGTTGACATTTCACTCCTCACTCAGGCACTTTACTTCCTTGGCTTCTTTTTGACTGTAACCAGAATTAGCCATTGGTACAGGAAAGTTATGAAGAATTAATTAGCTGGTGATTGCAAGTATGTTTGCTTTACAGTGAAATGTTACAGTAGATTGACAATTTGATTTTTTTTTTTAAGGTAATGATCAAGTACATTTTAGCTTTCAAAGGGCTTTGTTCTTATCATTTTTGCCCTCTTCCTTTGAAAATGAATATAAAAGCTTCTCATTGTAGTTTCATGCTTATGATAGTGGCAAGAGAATGTTTAATAATTATCCGCAGTCTTTTCACAGCTATGTCTGTTTTTCACAAATATGTCTATTTTCAAAGAATTTGTCGCATGGAATTACTTTGCTCTATACACATAATATTTTTGACAGTTGGTGTTACCATTGCCTCCAGAACCAGTCAGACATGATTCAATTTCCTGTTCCATCTTTTATCAGATCTGTGTCTTTGGCAAGCTACCTAATCTCTTTGATCCTCAGTTTCCCCATCTGTGAGATTGTGAGATGGAGATGGTGTCACTTACCTTGCAGAGTTGTCGTAATGATCTTAATATCTGATTCCGGCAGCATCCAATCCAGAGCAAAGTTCTACTTCCTTAAGCTGTCCCCCCAAATCAACTAATATAAACCTAAATCCTCTAAGTCTTTTCTAACGTCCTCCGACTGAGGTACCCCATGCTAGTGAAGATAAGAATGTGGAAATGCTTTGCATGGTACCCAGGACATAAATGGTTCCCCAACCACAACAGTTACTACCACTGTACTCTGACTATCATTGTTACAACTGTCAATAAATAATAAATGTCTTTAGTTGTCAAAAGCCCTGGTAACTAAGTGCCTTAACATTTTACATGGAAAAGCAGCCTTTCTGAAGACAAGTGTAAACATTTGATTTCAAGAAAATATGACTACTCCATTGTAATTGATACCAGTTAAAATGTTACCATAGTACTTCCTGGTTATGATTCATGAGTGTGTGTGCCCAATGCTTCCAAATTAAAGGTAAAGCTTCCTCTGATATTTTATTTGCATATGTCTTCATTGATCTAGACTCAGGTTTTGTCTATCAGGTTTTTTTTTTCCCCTTAGGTATCTATATATATTTGATCTGAAACGTAAACTATAAATACATAAAATAAAACTGAACATTTTCTTTACTAAAGTCCAGTATTTGTGCATTGTTCCCTTAGTAAGGTTTATACCTTTACCCTTCATGATAGTTAATATTTGGCCTCTTTTACTTACAATATTAGATTTAGATTTTAGTAAATTGAATTTCGTATTATTTCAGTCTAATTTGTAACACAAAGCATAGCAAAAAGAGGAAATATGTCACCTTTAAGACAA